TTGAGTGTGGGATTAGTAGCCACATTGCCGTTGCCTCGAATTGGATGTCCTCCCATTGGATAGCCACTAAGTCCGAGAAGAATGCTAAGTACATGAGCAACATGATGAGGCCTTTCTGATATGTGCCTGGTTGGCTCGATTGGAGGAATGGCCTAGCCATCGCGTGAACCTGATGAAGGGAGACGGGTTCCTTCACCCGTGCTGGTCGGGGGCACTGTCTTTTGGCGTAATCGCGTACTTGTGTCGTGAACGGGCCGCATGTTGGGTTAGCGGAGCCTGTCATTCGGTGGGCGAAGCTAATCGTGGCACATGTGAGCTGCACGCTGGAGACGGTGGCCTTGTGGTTGATCGCATGCACCAGGTAGAGTGCGACTGTGAGGTCCGTGGCAGGCATGAAGGCCGCTTTTGCCTTGACGCAAAAACTCCTAAACTTCTCCCAATAAGGTTCGTATGTGTTGATTGTTGAGTCGGACCGTGTCTGGGCCGTCATTAACAGTAGCTGCTGATGCAGCTTCGGAATCATATCTGACATCATTATGAAAAAAAAATGTTCATAGATTAGGAATGGAAGTTAATTTGAAGTGCAAGGATTCTGCTAACAGGGAGACCGGCTCCTGAGAATGCGCCAGTATGCGAACCGACATGCAAGCACTGGCTACCGCTAGCAAGATGCAAACACGATGTTACGCCGACTGCCCAGGTCCTGGGCGAAGGCCGGAGCAGGGGCCACCATGGAGCACCCGTCCATTCGGGAATGACTAGCGTCAGCGTCGCAGATGTGCGCGCGGTGTGGCGCAGGGAGGCCGGGATCAGGTGAGGAGGGGGAAATGCAAATCCGTGTTCTGGTCCCCAGTCCTGCGAGAAGGCGTTGACGGCAGTTGCACGTGGGTGGGGGACCTTCGAAAAGAAACGCGAGAGTTGCGCGTTATTGGCGTTTGCAAAAAGGTCAACCGTGTGTGGTCCCCAACGCCTCTCAAGTAATCGGAACCAAGGGAGTTTCAATGAGTAGTCGTCGTTGTCTTCTAGCTTGGAGAGTGCGTCTGCCTCTACGTTGAGAGTCCGAGGGATCCATTCGATAGCCAGCCGAATTTCGTTTGCCATGCAAAGGGCGATGATGGACTTGCATAGGAGGGTGAGCTTGGGTTGCCCAGAACCACCTTTACGAAGAATGAAGAATACGTCCTGGTTGTCCACGCGCATGAGCACATGGCGGCCTTGAATTTGGTTTGAGAATGTGCGCAGGGCCCAGAGCACTCCTTCGAGCTCTCGGCGTGTACTCGAGGTGGTGAGGAGCTCGTGCGGCATTGGGCTGCTGCCTTGCAGGTTTTCTCCAGGGAACGAAGCTAGGGTCGCACCCCAACTGTGAGCGCTTGCGTCTACATGAATCACCGTGTCGATGCTATGGGGCATGTGAAACGGCGCCCCGTTAAAACGATCGAAATTGTCGAGCCAGAAGTTGAGCTCGTCACGAGCCTCCAAGGTCAGGTGTGTTCTGCCATTCCATGATGGCGCAGTATTGATGAGTTCTAGGAGTTGGTGACTGAATGCTCGTGCCGTTGTGCCAAGAGCCAGCGCCATGGAAGCGAGGATGCCGGTGACCCGTGCGACAAGGCGGATTGGTATCCGTTGTCCATGCTCGTAGGCGGTGAGAAGCACCCGGAGCGTATGCATGAGTTGCGCTCGACGTTCGGGGCCGATGGTGAATCTTCGTGATTGAGTGTCCAACTCCATCCCGAGAAACTGCAGTTTCTGGGTCGGGGTGAGGTGCGATTTTTTAGCGTTGATGACAAGGCCCGACTGTCATAGGTCCCGAATGATTGCATTACGTGTCGCGCGTGCGTTCTCCTTCGATTGGCAGAGGAATAAGATATCATCCACATATGGAATGACTCGAGTACCTTGCGCACGCCATTTTCGAGCCAGTTGTTTGATCAATTGAGTGAAAAAGAAGGGTGCGGTTGCAAGGCCGAATGGTAACGACTTGAAGTAGTAATCCGTGCTGTCGAAGTGAAACCCCAGGAACTTCCAGCAGGACGGGTGGATATCGACGTGATGGTATCCGGACTTCAGGTCGATGGAGAACATCCAGTCGCCCGGTTGTGCCAACTCGGCGACTCGCGCCAAGCCTTCGTACTTGAATTTAGGAATAACGAGGCACTGGTTGACTTTTCTCAAGTCCAAGATAAGGCGACACTTGTCGCGCTGTTCCACAACGTTTAGTGGACTAGTACATGCGACGAGGAGTGGGCCCTCTGCGACTGCTGCTGCACCGGACGAGAGCAAGTCGGAGATTGCCGATCGTGTAAACTCGCGATGCAGCTCGACGCCGGCATGATTCTTGTTACGAAACGACGGTGGTGGGGCCGCTTTCCAAGAAAGCCAATATCCATTTGCTATGACTGACAGGATGAGACTGCTCTCGCACCATGAGGCCCACCAAGCGAAAGCTTGGCGCAATCGACCCCCCATGGTGGTGACTTCCTTGTCAGTGATCACATGTGTCAGAACATTATATAGCTTATGCTGTTGTGTAGGCTATAGTGGGGTATCCCATAGGGGGTACAACCCAATTAGGGTTTCCTATATGTACTCACTTCATTCATAGTTCAACCATCCTTGTTCTTCATTTTCACATGGTATCAGAGCGGTCTCGGGTTCGAATCCCGGTGTATGCACATGTAGGCCGTTGCCACTGTGCTCAGTCCTGGGCCTCCCAGTGTGGGGGGGTGTCAGTAGAGCTGCACTGTGAGATCCCCGATCGATCCTAGGGGGGGTTACAGGCGCGTTTGCCTGGGGGGTTATGGGCGCACTGACCCGCTACTGAAACAAGCCCTTTTATCCTAGTGGTCTAGTGGTTGGGATTCTGCACGTGAAGTCCGAGCTGCAGAAGAGACACACGTGCACAGACCTGGGTGAACTGCGCAGCTACCTTGGCTTGCAGATCACTCGGGACAGAGCACGCTGCACCATTACCTTGACTCAGTCACACATGGTGCAGCAGGTCCTTCAGCGCTTCGGCTTCACGTACTCCTCGCCTCAGGCCACTCCTCTGTCTACTCGCCACTCGCTCTCAGCTCTGCCTTCGGATGAGTCCGTAGAGTCGAGTGGCCCGTACCCAGAGCTTGTTGGCTGCCTCATGTACCTGATGACCTGTACACGACCTGACCTTGCATACCCTCTTAGCATTCTCGCACGCTATGTTGCTCCTGGGAGACACCGACCAGAGCACATGGCTGCAGCTAAGAGGGTGTTGCGCTACTTGTGCAGTACGTCGGGCATGGGGCTAGTGCTTGGAGGGCGGAGTCCAGTGGTCCTCACTGGGCACGCGGACGCTTCTTGGGCAGACGACCAGGCTACACAGCGGTCGTCGCAGGGTTACACCTTCAGTCTTGGTTCCGGCTCTGTCTCGTGGCGGGCTACTCGCTCGTCCTCTGTTCTCAGCTCCAGTTGTGAGGCTGAGATCTACGCCGGGGCCATGGCTGCACAGGAGCTTCGCTGGCTCACCTACCTGCTGACTGACCTTGGAGAGCCGCCTCGTTCTCCTCCAGTGCTGTACGTAGACAACAAAGCCATGCTGGCCTTGTGTCGAGAGCAGCGCTTGGAGCACAGAACGAAGCACATTGCTCTCCGTTACTTTCTTGCTCGTGAGCTGCAGCAGCGTGGTCAGTTGCGACTTGCTTACGTGGCCTCTGAGGCCAACACTGCTGATGTGTTCACCAAGGCACTTGCGCCTTGTGACCATCAGCGCTTCTGCACCCAGCTGGGTCTTGTACCTGTCTTGCCTCACTTGCTCTCTTCTTGACCTTGCTTGTACTGTTACATATATATACCTGCTCTTGCTTGTGTAGCTCTATATATATATGTGTACTCCTGCATGTGAACTGGCCTTTTGGCCTTGTCGTTGTGCTCGGACTGTGTGGTGACTTTGTGATCCACCCTGAGCTTGCTCTGCTTTGCTTGACTGGTCTTGTGACCCCTTGTTCTCCCCCACTTTGCCTATGGGGGTGTGTCAGAACATTATATAGCTTATGCTGTTGTGTAGGCTATAGTGGGGTATCCCATAGGGGGTACAACCCAATTAGGGTTTCCTATATGTACTCACTTCATTCATAGTTCAACCATCCTTGTTCTTCATTTTCACAACATGCTCCATGGTCTTACTCCATTCGCCCGGTCGTGAGGGACAAGCGCCTGCCATGGCGGTTGGGTTGGGTCAACAGTAGTCGTATATCAACCCTTTTAGGTCAAGCCACAAGGCGCTATTCCAACGTGAACATGTTATGCGAGTAGAACGAGGAAGAGTTCATAAGAATCAATCAGACGAACGTTGTAAAAACGACATGAACATGTATCTCGCACCAACCAACTTCTCGCGTGCTTGTGCATGCCCCAACAGCGAGGCATTAGAAACGTTGGAGGTAAGAGCAGTGACGCAGTTGCACACAATGATGTTCTACCGAATCATTCCCCTTCTCCCTCTCTCTCGTGCCCACAATGATGTTTTTTTTTTTTTTTTTTTTTTTGCCATGTGTGCTAGGGGGTGTGAATTGCAGGGTCTCACTCCCCTTGTCCTCCTATCTCGAGGCGTGGTTTAATGATTCTCGCACCATCGGTGCTTTGCCTCAATGGTTGTTGGTGAAAACATGTGTTCTTGAATCCCTTCCCTCTTTTTTTTTTTTTTTTTTTTTGCCATGTCATGGCTTGGATAGGGACCATGCACCATAGGGGCCAGCGGCCTGGATCACACTTCCAATATAGCATTACAATTTCACGGCCACCCGGGCCACACATGTGCACACGCACACACACACACACACATTATTATTATTATTTTTATTTTTAATGGCCTATAGCAATCCTTGCATCTAGCCTCGGCTAAACAGCCCACTCAAGGACCCCCTGGTCCTGCCCCGCCCTTCCACAACTCCTTTCCAAGGCACAAGGCGTGGGGCGCCTTGGGGCAATGAGAGGAGGGGTGGCAAGGGATGTTCGGGCTTCGCTCACACCACCGGTGCGGGCCCATTGCCCCCATGGCCTCCATGGGGGCACGCGATTGCCATGTGGCCGTGCTGGCCACAGCGCAAGCAGGTGCCTTTGAAGCCCCGGCAGCCACTTCCTCCTCCCATGCTCTTCGGCATGAATGCGGCGGGCTCACGAGAGAAAGAACGGTTCCCGCGGGGGGATCCAGTCTTCATGCGCTTGAGCGCCGCCATATCCGCCACCGCCATTTTGAAAGAGCGCGACGTCAGCACCGCTGTAGTCTTCAGCAGCTGGTAACGTTCAGCCACGTCGAAGCCCGCGTGGTCGGCGACGACCAACACGTCGAAGCGGCGCTTGATGAGATCTTGAGCTTGGGCAACGGTTTTGAGTGCGCCGGTCGCGTCCCCACCGCGGATTTTGTGCTCCACGTGCGCGAGGTAAGTCTGGAGCGCTTCGAATACTTCCGCCTGGTCACGAACGCCCTTGCGGTTGAAGGCGGCGGCCGCGGTCGAAGGATGAGGAGAGGGGAGAGGGGGAAGGAGATCGTTAGACAAATGTGGAGAAGGATTATTTGGCTCCTCACCCTCGTCGCTGTCAGAGTCGGAATCGATGTCGACAGGGGCGGCCGGCTCTTCTTCGACAGCAGGCGCCTTTCCTTTGTCGGCGCGGGTGGGAGCGGCAACACGAGCGGATGTAGAGATGTTGTTGCGCACATTTGCAGTTTTAGCGGATGCGGAAATATCCGCTTCGATTGTAGCTGCAGGCGTCGTTACAGCAGGGGCCGCGGCCTGCTTTTGAAGAAGCGCCAGCAGTGCCGCAAGTTGAGAGGGCGAGAGATTCGCTGCCGCCCCGTCTGACGCAGCAGAATCTGTCGCCCTGCGCTTGGGGGGCGCGCGAGATCCGCTCGGATCTGCGGCGGCGGCAGCAGGGGTGGCGACGAAGTCGCCATCATTGTTGCCGCCTGCAGGCCCTCGAGCCTGCGTGTGGCTCGCGCGTGGCTACGACGGTCGCGCGACTGTTCTGCCCTCGTCGAGCAGCACGTCGACCCCCGTGTGGGTGCCTTCGGCGTGATTCTCGGCGGGGCGTTTCCTTTTCTCCGCGCTTGTTTCCCGAGGCGATTTTTCAAGCCCCGTCGACTGACGAGCGGGAGAGTCCTTAGCCCCGGGTGTATTATTGTTGGTCAGCGCCATCGTCGATAAGTTCCGCTCGAGGATGTCGGAGAGGAGCGTTGACGGAGAAGTGAAGCGAGGGAGAGACTTGACCCTCGCCAGCTTGGACGAGAAGTCTCGAAACTTGAACTTGAAAGTTCGAAATGAAAAACGTGGGTGAAGGCCAAATGGCCTTCGCCCCCTCTTTTGTACCAAAAAGAGGGGAAGTATGTCAAACATATGTGTATATATGTTATAGGTTGGTTAGGCTTAGTGGGGTACTCACTGTGGGGTACAACCCCTTAGGTTTCTCCTTTGTACCTTTTCCCCTCGATAGTCGACACTCACTTTTCCCGTAAGATTCTAACATGGTATGGAGCATAGGTCCTTAGGACCTAGGATTAGGGCCCACCACGCTTGCCTGTCTCGTCTAGTGCCTACGCGCGCCTCGGCTGCCTGCGCGCGCCTCGGGCGATCCATTTTTTTTTTTTTCCCACGTGCGCCGTTTCAGCAGCCCGCGCAGCCCGTTTCGGCCCCACCTGTGCGCCCCTTAAGCCGCCCGCGCGCATTCTGGATAGGTCACGCCAGCGCGGCCCGTCGCCCAGCGCAGCCCGCATTTAGCGACCAGCCCGCAGCCGCGCACGTGCGGCCCGTCGCCCAGCGCAGCCCGCAAACGCACGCAGCTTGCAGCCGCGCACGCTGCCTGTCGCCACACGCAGCCCGCAGCTGCAAGCAGCCCGCAGCCCACGCAGTCCGTCGTCGCACGCAGCCTGCGGCCGCGCGCGCTGCCCGTAGCCTCGTGCAGCAAGTCGCCACACGCAGCCAGCAGCCTCACGCAGCCCTCAGGCCGCGCCTGCTACTTGCTGCCTGCTGCCGCCTGCCTGCCGCCTGCCTGCAGCCTGCCTGCTACCTGCTTGCTGCCTGCAGCCTGCCTGCTTGCTGCCTGCTGCCGCCTGCCTGTAGCCTGCCTGCTGCCTGCCTGCTGCCTGCCTGCTACTTGCTGCCAGCTGCCTGCCTGCTACTTGCTGCCTGCTGCCGCCCTGCATTCCCTGCGTCGAGGGGCGGCAGCGCGCCGCTCCTCACTCCTCCTCGTTCCCTCCCACAGAGGCTCCACAGAGGCTCCACTGCAGACTCTCCACCTGGACGTGTGGGGACCAGCCCGCGTCCGTGGACAGGGCCACGAGCGGTACTTCCTGCTGGTTGTCGACGACTACACGCGCTACACCACGGTCTTCCCCTTGCAGCGCAAGGGGGATGTCCCTGATGTTTTGATCCCCTGGATCCGCGCTACTCGTCTCCAGCTCCGCGAGCGGTTCCAGTCGGACTTTCCTGTCCTGCGTCTGCACTCGGACAGAGGTGGTGAGTTCTCCTCAGACCTCTTGGCAGCCTTCTGTGCGGAGCACGGCATCCGCCAGACTTTCACGCTTCCGGCCTCTCCGCAGCAGAATGGGGTTGCTGAGCGCCGCATTGGCTTAGTCATGGAGGTCGCTCGTACCTCCATGATCCATGCGGCTGCCCCCCATTTTCTGTGGTCGTCTGCGGTCCGGTACGCCGCGCATCAGCTCAACCTTTGGCCCCGTGTCTCCTTGCCGGAGACCTCGCCCACACTGCTGTGGACGGGGAAGGTTGGCGACGCGTCGCGTTTCCGGGTCTGGGGTGCTCGTGCCTTTGTCCGCGATACCACCGCGGACAAGCTCTCCCCTCGCGCCATTCCTTGCGTCTTCCTTGGCTTTGTCCCTGACGCGCCTGGCTGGCAGTTTTACGACCCCGCCTCGCGCCGTGTCTTTGCGTCTCAGGACGTCACCTTTGACGAGTCGGTCCCCTTTTACCGCCTCTTCCCTTACCGCACTGCTCCTCGCCCCCCCGCGCCGCTCTTTCTCGCCCCAGGTCCTCCCCAGGTAGACCCCCTCCCCGCGCCAGGTCCTGCTCCTTCAGGTGTCTCTCAGGTAGACCCCCCTGCGCCTGCGCCTGTTGAGGTCACTGGTGACTCCGGTCCTGCTGCGAGTGGTGCTGTCCCTGGGGGTGCGGAGCTTGGGGGTGCTGCGCGTGAGGAGCCTGGAGGTGCTGCGTCTCGTGGTACTACGTCTGGAGGTGCTGCGTCTGGGGGCGCTGAGCGTGTGTGTGCGGAGCCTGGGGGTGCTGAGTCTGGGGGTGAGTCGCCTGAGGGTTCTGAGACTGCTGTTACGCGGTCTCCTTGGAGTAGCCGTCTTCGTCCGCGTGTGCCCCTCACCTCCCAGCAGCTGCACGACTGGTACGGTCGCCGTCCGCGTCCCACTTCTGCACCTCAGGGCTCTCCTGCTGGAGGTTCTTCTGCTGGTGTCGCTGGTCCCGGAGGTGCTCGTACTGGGAGTGCTGGAGCTGCTGGGGCTGGTGGTGGAGCTGGAGCTACTGGCGGTGCTGGAGCTGCTGAGGGTACTGGAGCTGCTGGAGGTGCTGGAGCTGCTCGAGGTGCTGGAGGTGCTGGAGCTGCTGGAGGTGCTGGAGCTGCTAGAGGTACTGGCGCTGCTGGAGGGGCTGGTGCTACTCGTGCTGGTGGCACTGCTCAGCCGCGCCTGTTCTTTGCTCCACCGTCTCCGTCGTCTCAGCCACCACCTGACTCTGCACTTCGCCAGGTTCTCAGTCTTCCCTCGTCTTCTGGTCTTCCGTTACAGCCTGGCTCACCGCTGCCTGCTCCTTCTCCGTACACAGAGCAGCCTGGTGGCCTTGCAGAGCGTCGTGAGCCTGCGTCACGTCTTGTCTCCCCTGTCCGTACCGGTCGTCGTGTTCCTCGTCTGAGCCAGCCGGCTATCTCCGGCCTGTGAGAAGGATTGACAAAAGAATGAATAAACTAGAAAATGAGATGGGTACAAATAGGAAACGCATAAGTGTTGTACCCTCTAAGAGCTACCCCACTACAGCCTAAATAGACCATAGCAGATATAAGTTTGACACACCCCCATAGGCAAAGTGGGGGAGAACAAGAGGTCACAAGACCAGTCAAGAAAAGCAAAGCAAGCTCAGGGTGGATCACAAAGTCACCACACAGTCTGAGCACAAGCAAAGGGCCATAAGGCCAGTTCACATGCAGAGTTATATAAAGGAAAGCAAACAGTACAGAGAACACAACCCAGCAAGTGTAAGCATGCAGGTATAAGTATATAGAGTACAGTACAAGCAGAGTCAAGAAGTCAACAAGTGAGGCACAGTAGGTACAAGGCCTAACACAGTACAGAAACGCTGATGATTACAAGGCTGAAGTGCCTTGGTGAAAACATCAGCAGTGTTGGCCTGAGAGGCCACGTAAGCAAGACGAAGCTGGCCACACTGCTGCAACTCTCGAGCAAGGAAGTAGCGCAGAGCAATGTGCTTCGTTCTGTGCTCCAGTCTGTGCTCTTGACACAAGGCCAGCATGGCCTTGTTGTCAACGTACAGAACTGGAGGAGAACGAGGCACCTCTCCCAAGTCGGTCAGCAGGTAGGTGAGCCAGCGAAGCTCCTGTGCAGCCATGGCCCCAGCGTAGATCTCAGCCTCACAACTGGAGCTGAGAACAGAAGAAGAGCGGGTAGACCGCCAGGAGACAGAACCGGAGCCAAGGCTGAAGGTGTAACCCTGTGACGACCGCTGCGTAGCCAAGTCGTCAACCCAGGAGGCGTCAGCGTGACCAGTGAGGACAACTCGAGCCCGTCCTCCAAGCACGAGCCCCATGCCCGATGTACTGCACAAGTATCGCAACACCCTCTTTGCAGCATCCCAGTGCACCTTTCGGTGCCTGCCGGGAGCCATGTAGCGAGCCAGAAGGCTGAGAGGGTATGCGAGGTCAGGTCGTGTGCAAGTCATCAGGTACATGAGGCAGCCCACAAGCTCTGGATACGGGCCACTCGGCTCTACGGACTCGTCCGAAGGTGGAGCTGAGAGCGAGTGACCTGTAGGCAGAGGAGTGGACTGTGGCGAGGAGTACGTGAAGCCGAAGCGCTGAAGGACCTGCTGCACCATGTGTGACTGAGTCAAGGTAATGGTGCGCTGTGCTCTGTCCCGGGTGATCCGCAAGCCAAGATAGCTTGTGAGCTCGCCCAGGTCTGTGCATGTGTGTCTCTTCTGCAGCTCGGACTTCACGTGGGCGAGTGCCTCCGTGTCAGCAGTAGCAAAGACAAGGTCGTCTACGTACACAAGAACGTAGAACGGCGGCAGAGTAGCGTCAGTGCGTAGAAACAGAGAAGGGTCAGCAGTGGAAGGAGCAAAACCAAGAGCAGCAAGAGTCGTCCTGAGCGTGTCGTGCCACTCACGGGGCGCCTGGCGGAGACCGTAGACTGGCCGCCGGAGGCTCCACTGGGTACCAGCAGGAAACGACTCAGTGAAGCCAGGTGGGCGGCGCAGCCAGATCTCCTCGTGCAGGCTGCCCTGTAGGAAGGCTGTGCTGAAGTCAAGCGAGTGGAGCTCGTAGTCACGCTGAGCAGCAACGTGCAGCAGTACCCGAAGAGTGGTCATCTTCGGGGTAGGGGAGAAGGTCTGAAAGAAGTCAACTCCCTGTCGCTGACTGAAGCCACGTGCAACGTAACGCGCCTTGAAGGCAGGCGGAGAACCCGGCGGCCGCTTCACCCTGAAGATCCACATGCCACTGACGATGTTCGCCCCAGGTGGGGGAACCTCGTCTACGTAGGTGCCTGTGGACTTCCAGGAAGCCATCTCTGCGTCCATGGCTGCCTGCCACTGAGAGGAGTAGGGACCCTCTATCGCCTCTGCGTAAGAGCGCGGGGTCGGGATGTCTAGTGCATCCGGGTCTCCCTCAGGGGCAAGCAGCATGGACACGAGATGAAGTGAAGCAGCGGAAAAGCACTCAAGGTCCTCCTGTCTGTCCTCAAGAACGTCCGTGCCAAGAGCAAACTCACCCCCGACGGACGGAGGACAGACAGACGCAGACGCAGACGCAGCAACAAGACTAGTGGCGTAATCTAGGCGACAAGCTGCAGCAAAGTCAACAAGCTCAGCAACAAGAGCAGACGCAGCAGAGGACTCAAACAGAGGGTCAGTGACAGCAGTGGCCAGAAAGCGCGTGACAGTAGGACTAGCAACACGAAGGGAGTCAGACTCCGGGTCCGGACCGTCAGGAAGAGAGGACGCAGGAGGAGAGGGTAGAGGGACACGCTGTGAAGCAGTAGAAGGACGCAGAGTCATAGAGTGAGTGCCTGGGACAGGTGGAAGACGTGGACGCGAAACACGACCAGCGGGAACAGTGCGGACAGGCGACGCAGAACGAGACGCAGGTGACACAGGACGCGACTCAGGCTCACGACGCTCCGTAAGACCTCTAGTCGGACCAGAGTAAGGAGAAGGACCAGGCAGGGGAGGGGCCGGCTGCAACTGCGACTGAGACTGGACAGGCGGTGGACGCAGGAAAGGAGAAGGAGGACCAGGAGAAGGCGGGGAGCCAAGAACCTGCTGAAGGAGGGGAACGTAGTACGGCCGCGGCCGCGCAGCGCCTCGAGAAACAGCAGAGACAGAATCGGTACCCTCAGCCCCAGGGTCTCCAGTCCCAGCAGCACCTCCAGGAGCTCCAGCACCAGCACCAGCAGCACCTCCAGCAGCTCCAGCA